AAATCGACCACGCGTTACCGTTATGACGGAAAAAAAGAATAACACACGCATGACTTGAAAAAAAAAAAAAAAAATGAGCTGCAGCCCGCATGCACATGCAACGGGTAGCCGCAATATCGCGCGCGTGAAACACAAAGAATCGAAGCACTTCTCCGAATCTGAAATTCCCGTCGTTCGGGACTCATCCGCATTTACAAACCAGCACGTAAAGTTTCCTCGAATGTGTGTTACTCTCCTCTACCTCACGCGAATGAATTTGTCGAGGGGGGCAATTAAGGTTAAAAGAAGGACGTAAGCACGAATGTTGTGCACTGCTTATTTTATTTTTTTTTTTCTTCTTTCTCTTCTCTTCAGGCTTCTTTTTGTGATGTAATGGCAGGGCAATTTACTTCTCTTTCCGTCCCTGCTTAATATTTTCACACGTTGTATCTGGGGCGACGCGGTTCTTGGCCATCAAAAATTACTCAGTCCTGCTTTGGGGACAAAGTACGCCGAGAAATTGAAAGATTTCGGCTCTTTTTAGGGACATGCGATGCGCATGCGAGCGAAACATTTTAACAATGCATTTTTTTTCTTCCAAGATGTCTCATTGGCTTAATGTTTTCATTTTTCTGGTAGCATGCTCAAATAATGGATGGCAACGCCAATGTCGTAGACTAGGGTATATAAATGTCGGGGATGTATTACTTTATTTTATGAATATTTTCGCAAAGATTGATTTTAATGAGCTGCTTAAAGTGATTCATCTTCTATTAATTCCACGGTACAGCGTCATTTTATGTAAATAATATGCCACGATATGCATAAAAAACGATGATTAAAAAAAAATCTCCATTGAGTCATAAAAATAATGAAAATTGGATAAAACTGAACTAAATAAATAGTGAAAAATACTTTAGTATATGTAAAGAAATAATGTTTATGCGATAAACAAGTACCACAGTTGAGGAAAAATTTTTAAAAAAGGTGATGCTTCTTTAAATCATGTACGAAATCACGCGCGCGGAAAATGGTAAAGTCGAAAAATTCCATGATCTAAATACACGTACACGTCGCGCTCTTAAATCTTGCACACCGAACAACAGCTTATCATCAATTCGTTAGCAGCTTGATCCAAGGCGAGATTTATGACGCGAGATGGAAAAAAAGTATATGCGCGCATGCACAGAGGCTCGAACGAACTATTTGCTAAATAACGCACGCGCAGTAGAAAAAAAGAAAACGGAAGTGTTTTCATGAAATTTCATCAGAGTGGGAGCGTACGCAGCTCTAAATCTCTCTGAGGCATTATAAGTCTCTCGTATTATCTGCCTCTCGGCAAACATAAACAGCAACCGTTTCTCAGCTTTACATGTGATGCTGATGATGATGATGATGAGACTGTGCGTGTACGCATATGTGTGGAAATATGTATAGACTTGTGTATATTTAATATTAGAGCTTCTTTTGTAAGATTTCAAGGATAATGTGATGCGCTGCCGTAATGAAAGTTTTTTTTTTAATTTTTCTTCATGGCATTGAATAAACGTGGGATAGTGTATTATATGGACATTACTGTGATTTAGATAATTTAAAATTAACCTATCCGAAGATTGGTGAGATAGTTATTTTATGGTTTTGTGTGGAAAGTAATTTATCAAGAAAAGCTCGAAAAAATTTAGTTATGATTCTAGTTATAAGAAAATGTGCATGCAAAGTGCAAAGTTGTTTTATTAAACTAATAACTTCCGTGCCAGACTATACATTTCACAAATTTCACAAATTTTTAAAAATTCAATGAAAAACAATTTATTTCACATAGTACAAAGATTGAAGTTTCCAAATCGAATGCAGAGTCCTGTAAGCATTTACACTGTAAGATCATCCTTTGATCTCGGAACATTCAAGCAAAATCGACCAAGAAAGGAGGAAGAAAAAAAATAAGCATCAAAATCACACAACACAATGTACCTTCATCCTAAACACAATAAGGAACCAGCATCAAACTAAGAACATCGGCGGTGCGACCGATCTAGCGCAAATCGTGCGTCTCGAGGCTAAAAATCCTCGGGCGCGCAGCTTACCATCGACACGCAGAGAGAGAGAGAGAGAGAGAGAGAATGTAGAGCGAGCGAGGTGTAGCTAAGCAGAAAGATATACACACATATGCGCGAGGGGTCCTGCGTACGCGCACGGCCTTCCGGTTCCCTGATGCGCAAGGCGGCAAGCACATTTCAGGTAACTGGATTAGCGGATTACCGAGCACGCACGCGCTTTCTTCTCCTGCCTCCCTTTGCGAGGCGTCGCCAAGTGGACGCGCTGCTGCGCCGCCGCTCGTCAACGTTAAAATGGGACGCTATGTCGCTATCTCGTCGCTCGGAATGTTTTGACGAGTTTATCACGTGCCGGAGTAACCGCGGTGAACTCGGAGCAACGGTACAATCGGAAGAGGATGTTGAACAATGCATCGCGTAAATTTCCAATACCTGTGATATACTTCGCGGTTGCGATGTACTGAAAATTGCGCAGAAGAAAAAATGCGCGAGCCGAACGTCGGTGAGAGATTTATCGGTAACCAGAGAACTTTGAACGTTGGCCAGCTAAGCTCATCGTCGTCAAGAGTTGTACCAAGACAATCGCGCGTCTAATCTGCAACGTGGAAGCAGCGCGAAACCAAATGTCTCGGCGTGGTAACCAAAAACTCCGAAGCGAAATCCAAAACATACCGGCGGCTGCGATGGTGACCACCACCAAAATTTGCTCGTTAGCGCGATATCGTGGCGACGGCAGGAAGAAGGCAGAGGCACATCCGTATCGTGGTCAGAGCCCGTGACCCCCCACGATCCTCCTCCTGCTCTTTGCATGCATCCGGCCCTCGCGGTTTTAACCACGGATTATCCTTCTCTCTCTCTCTCTCTCTCTCTCTGTCTCTCTCCTACGCGCGCGACCGACAGTGCGCAGCAGAGAGGTTGGCAAACGTTATGTATGGTTGACGAATTGTTTTTCTCTTCCAATGACTGCAGATGATGGTAAATATCTTGGCATTGTAATGATGGCGTAGAGAAATTTTACGCTTGGCGGAGCTAGTTGAAGAGCTGCCCATAGTGGAATTAGCGCTGATTTAATTGGTTTTGCTCAGCTCTACGTTGCTTTGTGTTGAGTTTCAAATGAACGTGTAATAATGCTGTAATAATCGGTGTTCACGTTGCTAAAATCCGCATGCCATTTGTGAAAATTAAAATTGTAACGATTTAGTGATTAACATTCACAGTGAATTGTCGATTGTTTTAATTTTGATGTTTGAATTTTCTCCAATGGTAAAAAGTGCTGCATTCGAATTCCTTTTGTAAAATTCTTCTAGTACTTATACTAAACGCTTTAGACTCGCAATTGTTTTTCTTGGTACAGGTCGTATTTGATAAGATATTTGATAAGATATTTGGAGCAAAACGTTTAATTAATGCAGCGTTCCCAACGAAATTATGACAATAGTTGCATTCAATGAATGATTAAAAATTAAAAATAATTTAAACCATAATATATAAAGTGGATATAGATTTCGTTATAGTAAAATTATAATGCACATGTGTTTCAATTCATACTAAAACAAGTCTGTACAATTCTGTCATTGAATTTACATTAGCTGAAACTAAGCGCAAACGTGTGGTACTTAACAACCAGAAAATATACCTAAACTATCAAATGAAGAGAGAAACAGCCAGAGAAAAAGCCGAAACGAGTAGGGAAGTGAGCGCGACAAAGCGCGACGATGTCCGCAGGGGTGGAAATCGTTGGGGTGGCCAATTGGCTGTGTAATGCCACTCTCTCTCTCTCTCTCTGTCTCTGTGCAAAGGGGTTGCCCTTGTACATACCGCATATCAAAACTCCACACACATATAGCGCGATGGAATGCGCTTAATTTGCCTTGCTTTATTATCATGTAAGGGACGGATTATTGTTCGAAAAGAGAGAAGTTCGTCGGTGGGGGTTGAGCTTTGCGCTTGGAGGTCACTTGCGAGATTAGGATAACATGAGTTGGTCGAGATATTTTTGTCAGCTGGTTTGCGTGTGTCTCCGTGAGAGGGTGGCTTGATTGTCGAGTACGGTAAGTCCAATGTGAATTGTTCATGAGTCTTTAAAAATACAGGCTGCCATAAATGATATACCTTTGGACTTTTTTTTTCAAGTCTGCGTTTAGATTTTATCGAATAAAATAATAGATTATCAAATCGTTACAATTCATCTCAGAAAATCGTGCGTCGTCAATACTTTAAAATTCCGTATTTTGTATTTACAACCGAAGCATTATACCATTTGATAATGAACCAGAAACGAATTAATTCGAACTTGGTGATTAACTCGAGTATGAAATATATCAATGCATTATGATAGTTATTTCCTATAAATGTAACGTACTCAACATTCGCAGCACAAAGACGCGCCCATCGTTGAATTTTCAACTGGTTTCGCGTGGGATAATGATAATTTGCGCGAGCGCACGTGTAGCACCCATAACATCGGAAAATAATCTGCTTATCTTCATTAATTCGCACATGTACACATACTTCATCTGCGAAGTTGCACGGATTACGAAATATCTCATTATTTTTACATTTATTCGCATTGCGTTTACGTCTTTCCAATTTAACGTTGAAAAAAAATTAATATTTGTTGATTTGCGCGTACTGCGCGATTGAAGCACCGGAGGATTCCAAATGCATAAATTCTTTTTGACAATTATCAGTGCCGGATGCCGGGTTCAGTTATGAAGTATACTTTCGAGAAGCATGATTGCAATATTTCTATTTTTAAATGAAAGTCAGCCGAGCATAAATAACAGTCTAATTAACTCATTCAAGCGATTATGCCCCCCCCCCCCTTCTCCAGAAGAGAACCCAGGGATCGAGTTTATCTGAAGTGGCCGGCTAATCAACACCCCTTCGCGACTGCCAAGCCACCGGCAGGATCCGCGCAACGGATATGTCTCTTCCCTTCTTAACGGCCTTGACATCTCGATTTACCTGAACCTGATCGTTTTTCGTGTTGGCAGCCACCCAGGCTTCGGCAAAGGTCTCCATCGCGCTCTGGAAATCCATCGGCTTCGCCTCTTCTCCTCTCTCGGTCGTCTAGTCGCGACGGATCATCTTGAACGCTGTCGCTTGCACACTCGTTATCTTTTCTCTCTCCACAGCTGAAATCGAACACTTGGCCGGATGTGTCCCTTTTTTGGTAAGCCGAGAAAGACAGTTTTCGCACGGACCTGTGTACGCGCGGGCAGAGTCGATCGATCACGCGAAATAATCCACACTGGCGTGTACGAGTCGTCGGACAACAATGCCAATCACAAAATTGCACCGCATGTCACGCAGTGGCCGCGAGTTGCTCGCGCGTGCGGTCGAGTGCGCCAAGCGTGTACGTCGTGCGGCGTTCGAGCCGCGACTGCTGGCTGTCGGCCGCGTGTTGTCGGTCGGACCCTCCCATGCTCCCGCAGCCTAGCAGGGCACCCCACCACTCTTCCCCGGCTCTCGTCTCTGTCTCCTACTCTCTCGCTCGGAGCACATTGAAAGCCTGCACACCCTATATCTGCGAGCGAGTTATCTGGAGCGAGCTGGATTGGTCCGAGGCTGCCTCGCGGGGGTGGGCCTCAGATAAGAAACGCGCCTCCGCCGTTGGAGGATTCTCGCACTCTCGAGCCAGCGAGCGCGTCGAGCGCCAAACTCGGATTATTGAGGGAGGGCGACCTAGCAAAAGGAGGAGAGTATCGTGCTGTATATATATGCTCGCGACCGAGCGTCGCTTCTTTTTGCTCTCAGGTGCCAGCTCAATTTTTTTTTTTTTCGTTAAGCATTTCGAAGACGGATGAGACCGACGTTGCGCTTCGCTTGTTTTTCGCGGGACCAGTTGAGCTTGGATTTTCTGATAATATTCCGAGTTGTACGCGACTTATTGCTTTCATCGAGAAATCTACGAAAAAGCAACTTTGCTATTTTAATTTTCCATAAAAATTTCATTGATCTTTCAAGTAAAATCGCAACGAAACAAATTCAAGATTTGGCTTTTATACAATAAAAGATTTTAATTATCAATCGGCTATATATATATTGAATGTTATATCTGCGAATGTATGCAATGCAAATGTTTAAAACTGAATCTTGAGCCAATGAAAGTTAACCGACAAATTGTCACATCACAAGTAGCAGAAAAATGACATTCTATAAGTAATTCCGATTTCAGCTTATCTTTCACGTAAGTAAATGCTTTGTTTCATCTGGTGAAAGACACCGCACTCGAGTATCTGTCGTTCTTTGATAAGACGACTAGATTGCCTTCGCCAGTTGAAATAAAAGTACGCAGAAACAAATGGTCAACAAAGATTTTATTTAGATTTGCTAGATTTGCAAACAGTTCGAAAAAGCTTGTCTCCTCGACAGAAGCTGAAGCATCGCGACGTACTTGGATTCGCCAATTTATTGAATAAAAGATTCGACAATAGCAGGTGTAATCGCCTATAAAAAGAACCGCGGAATACGGCGCAGGGGCGCAAAAGCTCGACTTGGGAAGGGCAGCGCTATCTGCGTGTGGTCGCAGGCGTTACATCCTGAATGATTCTCAATCCCGCCTCTCGCTCTCTCTCCCTTTCTCGTGCGCGCGCTCCGCGCTGTTGTCTCCTCCGCTTTCCTCGACGAGCGCTTCCGGCATGCACGTTATCGAGTTTGCGGCAAAGAGGAGCGAGAGAGGATTCCGCCGCTTTAATGGATAGACAAACCTATCTCTCCGATATTACCCCATCCGAGTTTTCGTTGCTTGCTGATTGTTTCGAAAATTTAAACTAGTGACTTTCGATGCGCGGTTTCTGTCCCGTTTCAGTTACAACTTTCAACTCTATCAATTTTAGATAGCAACTTTTTAATTCATCGTTTCAAGTTGTTTTTTAGTTTCTTTTTGAAAATGAGATAGCGTTACGAAGATTTTCAGATATATTTTTATGATAGCGGTGATACGGATGGTCTACGATTGTTCTTCATATATATACACTAGATTGTGTGTCAGTTGTATTTTGTTATGCTTTATACGAGCTGACTCGTATAAGTAACGAGTTATTTCAGTATTGATAGTAATAAGCTGTATTCAGGAATGCAGCTGATTACCTACGGCTAAATTATTGATAATTAATATAATGCTGATATGTTATACGCATGCTTCGCAAAGTATGCATCCATTTACTGGCCAAAACGATACGGAGATGCTAATTTCTATAGCAACTATCATAATTAACAATACAGCTCGGTTTCGCGCTTCTTCAATTTTATATGTAAAAATATGATATTAAATTAAATACTCTAATTCGTCTAATACTCACATTTTCGAAAAAATTCCATGATAACATTACCACGAAAAACGTACATAATACAGAACGCCAACCATTTTCAATTATATTCATAAAAAGATTACACATCTTTTATGCTCGTGAAAAATTCTTGCACATTCAAATTGCAAATTACGCGCACAGTATCGATACAAAGCACAGCCGTGCGTATAAAAACATATATTTCCCACAAAGATTTCTTTTCCTTTAGTGAGCCATAAAATAGCTGCACGTACTTCGCATTCGTTTTCTCTCTGCGTGTGCGATCCACGTGTATCCTCGCAGCCATATTTTACACGTTCGACGTTCTTCCCAGGGAAAAAGGAAAGCGTATACGAGAAATAAAGATCTTCTTTTCATGAGCAATATACGCGCGGTATCACTTGGAGCTTGCAATATAAGAGAGAGAGAAACTACATCGCCGAGAAAAAAAGCTCGTCTCTCGCGTATAAATAAAGCCCGTGTAAACAGAGAAAAAGAGACAGAGGGAGAGAGAGAGAGAGAGAGAGAGAGAGAGAGCTGCATTGCGATCGGGAAGTGGGAGCTTCTACCCTCCCGAGAGGGCAGCTTTTCCCGAGATATCTGTATTCCTCATCCTCAATGGGCGTTGCCAATGTTTGCGACCTATCGTCGTTTGAGCTTGCGCTGTTAAGGTGGAGCTTGCGAGTGCCGCCCTTGCCGCAGAGGGTAAAATTGGTGGGGAGAAGCTTTGGGCGAGCTTTCATATAGGATTTCAAGGAAGAACTGCTGCTACTAAGAGGGGGGGGGGTCATGCCTCTGGTGCAGCTATGCGCGCCTGTGGAGTCTATTGCATTTCGAGAAGGAGAGACGAAAAGCGAGCGACTCTTTTTCTTATTCGTTTTAACGTCGTTTATATGCAAAGCTTTAATTTATTTCGCGGTTTATTCGTGTTGCAAATGCGCTTGGTAGGAATCTGAGCTTGAAAAGTTATTATAGTTTTGAAGATCGATTGCTTTCACAATTTTCATGTACTTAAAAAATAATGCAATAACTTGACATTCACAAATATAAAGATTCGATAGAAATAACGGTTTACCAATACCTATTTTTCAACAAAGTTCTGATTACATGATATAACATTAGTTTACCAATACCAAATAATAATGCGCTTATCTATGACTTTTTAAATCGGAATAGATGTGGCGTCATCTATGTAGGTAATCAAACTGAATCTTCGACAATCATATCTTGGCAAACAGCTACATATGAATAAATATTGGCAATAAAGTGACAACCCGAACGACATTTCAGAACTTTCGGAGACGATCGAAAAATCCATTGGCAGATCGTCACGCATCAAACATTAACCGCAACACGCGAGATCTACGTGTAATCTTTCTATTTTCACCTGTGAGCGCAAGCCCGTTATGCAGACACGGGCTCTCTCTTCCTTTTTGCCAGCACGGGCTCGAGATTCCCATTTCCCAGGGCGCGCCTTATCGTACCACCACCCGACCGCACCGCGCGCATCGACTACACTTGCACCGCGCACACAAGAGGCAGGCAGAAGGGGAGTTCCGTGGTAGGGATGATTGAGACGCTACCGTGCAAATAGTGGCGGCACCAGTTCCTTGCAGATAAAACGATGCCGCGCTTTGCTTGTTTATAACGTCGTTAAGGATTGGCATTCTTCCGTTCGATGTTCGCGTTTTTTGCGAGTGTGCTTTCTTTTATTTTCCTTTTCTTATTTTACTTTGTTGCACGGTTCTCGCCATCCTAAAGACCGCAAACAACTTTCGAATGCGCAATAAGTTATAACTTACTTGTAAATAGGTAGAAGCTTCGCATGAATTATTGCTGTTTCAATGCGACTTACAATGAATTAATACGTTCGGCAGTCAATAGACGTGTGAATGCAGCGAGATCCGAACATATGAATTTTTTTTCCAATAGTTGTAATTGAACACTTACAATCTAATGTAATTATTCATATAGAAAGGCGGTGGAATTCGGTTTAAAAACCATCAAAGTCTATTCACGGATTCGGCTTAGCAGTTATCTTTATTTATAAGATTGGTTGACGTTTCGGAGATATGAAAAAGCCCCTCTCTCTATCAGGACTAATAGCAATCATTCATAAAAGAATAAATTTATAAAATCGTAACGATTCGTTACAACAGTCAAAAAGCTTATATCATATAGAATAAAAACCCAGTTGGTTAGAAAGTATATCATGACAATTCTGACAAGAAACTTCCACTTACGTTTTTTCTCGTAATGTACATATAATTTTGTCAAATAATCGCGTGATCATACCAATAAGACTTATAATAAAATAGGAGTTGTAGTTATTTTTTTGAATATTTCCAGCCACTGAACACTCCTGTCAGATGTGACCGTGAGTATAAGTTAGTGGAACAGGAGTTTATATGTAGACTGTGGAAAGAAATAGTGAGAAAGAAGGTATTAAGTTGTATTAAACACCCATGCATCGAAACAATTGTAAAGACATAATAGTTAACGTATGTTATTACACTTTTGATAAATGGCACGTTTTCGGACGTAAATGAAAATCGTTCATTGAATGGAATCGTAGAGAAGTATGTATTTACACGTACTCATGAATGATACTTAGTATCACATTTTAATTTATTATTACATTATAAATTAATATAATATATTACATGTTTAAACGCTACGCATTGAACTTTCACTAAAAAGTTGAAGATGCAACCCGATATACACAGGAGCCGTACCGGTCATACATTAATGATCCGCTACGAATTTTCCAGTTTTAATCGATACTTTCTGGCAATATTTGACAACGCTTGAAATTTTATTGGAGATTGTTGAGGATGCATCTTGAACAAAATAATAAACTTACGAGTGAGAGC